CGCGAGTCGTGATATCGAAGGCTGAGTAGAACAGCTTCCGTCCGTTGAGGTTCAAGAGTCCAGAGCCTTGGCGTTTAGCTGACGAGAATCCAACAATGTTGAGTTGGTACTTTATTGTCTCATTAACTAACTCTTGTTCTTACCCTGTGAGTGAGGATATGTTCCAATTTCCGGCAGTAAGCTCGCAGTGGTAGTGAGATTCTCATTGAGACTTTTCTGATGTGGTATCTTGGCATCGCGCTATCTGCCTCCTCTGTTGAGAACGGGTAGCGACTCCGTTGCTGACTGGTATCTTCGTCGTCGTCCCGTCGGTCTTCGTCAGCCGTTGTTGTGCTGCTACGTCCCATGCTGGGAGAAGGTGATGAGCATTTTGTGATTGCGGACTTTTCGGAGACTGCCTCAGTCGGCCAACTGACTGCCCGGGTTTTGGTTACCCGGGCGACGTCCGAGGAGGCATAATTTTAGATGACGTCAAAAGCATGAGTGGCAGATGGCGAAGTTTTACTGAGACTTCGCCCTTGTCTGCCCCCTTCCTCCTTTCTGTGGAGGGCTTGGCATCGGCAATGTTGGAGTTCACAGAAAACGTAACACAGTAAATTAACAGTAAAAATTCAGAACATCACGAAAAAGTATTTTGCACTGAATAAATTTAGACAGTTGTTTACAGCTTAGAAATTTCTGAAAAGCAAGTGTACGGTATGAGTTATGGACGATCTTCGAAAACTACTGAAAACAGGAAGTGACGAAATTTCAAAAGGCTCTTGCATGGAGGATGTCACTCCCATTATCAACTCTGGGTAATTAGCGATTTTGGGGAACTTATTCAACTCAAAATAATTGATGAGTGACACAGTCATAAGAATTCATCTAAGAACACCTCATCCTCCCGGTTCCAAAGCCTAGAAATATCTTTTAATTGCCATTGAAGAAGGAGTACCAAGCTCGTGACTTCGATATAAGCCGGTTATTGAGGGGTAGCAAGCCATTGAGTTGCTAACAATGGACAGCATGTTGTTCTGGAGTTTGTTAACAGAATATGCGAGAGGTATGGGTATTGGGTCTGATGCGAGAGATTTTCGTGAATACACATCGCCTCATTCCGCTTGATTGCTGACGATGCAAGGTGATAATCAGGAGAATGTACAAATTCAATAAAAGCAGTGAATAAGAAAGTATGAGTCGCTACTGGTTTGGTTTGGTATACCGCAGATAAAATCTCATCACCAACAACTAAGAGTAAAGGCCACTTTCCCATGATTTAGATAAACAAGTACCACGAGTTTTAAGTACCATATAATGCTTTTGCGCAGTTTATTAAAAATTGTGTGGAAATAAGAAACAAGATCTGGCTCAGAAAAAATCAGCACAACCAACAAATAGCATAATTGCAATATAACAATCAACGTAAAGAACCTATCGACATGGATTCGACCCACAGAACGAGGGAAAGGATTTGCAACTGCGACTGCTTTGTTTCAAATCACTGTTGATCCTGCTTAATGATTGAATGCAAAAGCAGCCACGAAGTCATAAATCATCGTCAGAAGCCGAATCCTGAGCTGCCTCCCTCCAGTGGGAGTTGCTAATAACATGCATGATATAGAGGATGAGAGAGGTGTGCAAAATTCACTACTTTTGACTGCCGACGTTCTTTGATACCCTTAACCACGAATCAACACAGTAACTACAGTTCCAGCAACGGATCCGGAGTCCAGAACAATGAAGAGAGAGATTTACCCAGCTGTTAGTCATAACCAAAAATGGCTATCCCTGTTTCGGCATTCTGATATGTGCCTCGCAAATATTCTCCGAGACGTTCGCTCAGCATATTTTTATTGAAACCTCGATGTTCGAGGTCTAATCACATAGGTGCGTTAAGGCCATCAATATCCCGATAAGTACAACAACTAGATTTAGTCCATGCGTTTGCTTGAGGGTGTGAAACTTATATCATTTTTGCTTTTACACATGAGGACTAAACCACCTCACAATGAGTACCCGCGCGGTTCAATGAACCGAAATGATCC